GCAAATGTACAGAAATGTCTTTTCGACAGGTTTCCACCATTAACAACTAGAGAGATATCAAAAGCATAAGAACGTTTTCCTCTCCTCTCTGCAGCTAAGGTTAATTGCATCAACCGTTTACCCAGGTCGCGTATCCATATCCACGTTACTTATACCTATTTTAAACATTGCAGTACCTGACTCCTGTCCTCCAGGATGGCGAAGATTTGACGAAACTTGTTTCCAAGTACACCTACTTCGTAAGAAAAATTGGGGCGACGCTAGACTCGATTGCTGGACCCGTGGGGGACGTCTTGCTGTGATAAAAAGTGGATTGGAGCCTCACAAAATAACTAAATTTACTGACGATTATTTAGACCAATTGAGTTATTTTTATACTGGTGCTTATGCTGCGCATACCAATAATGGGCAATGGATCACAGTTAAAAATGAGTCTTTCCCTTTCAACAAGTACTTCTCCCTGTGGGGTCCATACGAGCCTTCAGGGGATGGTTGGTGCGGCGATCTGATTTTAGGAGAAAAATGGAATGATTATTGGAAAGGGAAAGGCTGGCGAATTAATGATGGAGACTGTTTAACAAAGGAAGCATACATCTGCCAAAGGCAAAAACACGTTTCAAGTAAGAAAGTTGATTATTGCCACTTAAAATATATGTCTCGTCCAAGACATTGGTTGGAAACGTCTTTGGAATTACTTGTAGTTTGTTGCGCATCATATTTATGATTCTGGAAAACTGCGTCATGTAGTTCTGCGTGATAAAAATACGTGTACAAGTAATTATTAGTAATAGATTAGCAGATTAGCAGTTAGTTGCAAGTTATAGAAACTGGTTACAACTTCCATTAAACAGCTTTTAACAACAAGCGCTTCGAATGGTTTAGTGTTGAAATTGTGTTGTTGTTGTTGTTGTTTTGTTTTTCGTTCAGTGCTGATTGTTAAAGAATAGCAGCTTTTATTTCAATTTCGGCGACCATTGAGTGTTTATATTTTTTTCAAATGTCATTATGTCCAAGGATCTTGTGAAGATGGCTGGTTCGAAGCGGATGGAATATGTTTTAGAATATCTGGAAATCATACTTACGTCACCTGGGACACAGCCCGTGAACGTTGCTTACAACAGGGGGGCGACTTAGCCATTGTTGATTCTGAGATTAAAAGGCAAATCATCGCCAGCTATCTCACTGTGATAGATAATCTATTCCCGGATGTTAACGTACAAGCGTTTATAGGAATTCGAAAGTTCGGCACCTGGCAGTGGTTAGGGGGAAACATAATCTCAACCAACATTTGGCACAGTGGATATCCTCATGCTCTTTGGAGTGGAGAGTGTGGTGCTCTAGTTAGGGGCTCTTTGGAATGGAAGCTTTTGCAGACATCTTGCTCTTACACGCTAGGCTACATGTGTGAAACACACGAGAGTAAGTGCTTTTGCATGGTCAGTGTTATTGCATGGTTGTATTGTGACACATAAACCCTCGGCAAATAAAGATTCGCCTTTTATTGATTTTCTGTATGATTAGTAAATTCACTTCACAGAAAAGATGACCACCTGAGAGCTAATATGCCAACGCAAACAGCCTAGTAATTGTGAAATACCAGATTTGGTACAATATTTCATTAGCATGTTCACATTTGTCCTTCAGTTCGTTTCTTGCTGTCAGCAAGAGAGGACTAATATTCTCAGTGATGTATGAAGAGGTTCATCAAGTGAAGAACTAAAAAGATTATGACATACAGGAGAATCGGACGTGAATAAGCCATTTCCACGCTTTTTTCCTCTGTTTCAAAACAAGCCCTGGTGCACAACCTTTCATGTATAAATGAGTTTGATTTGC